GATCATTCATTTGGAGTCATGTTTTTGGCCACCTCCTCAATCTAAGTCAAATATTCACTCTCCTTTTAGCTCCTACGTGGTCCCCACCAACTCCAGAGGCTCCTCTATATTCACTAGCTAGGCTCTAACATTGTCTGTCTGTCACAAAATGTATGCCAGTTTAACTTTAATATACAAGTATACATTCAAAAAATTAAGAATTAAGCCTTTAATCTTTATTAACCATTAGTATTGGGTGTCTCATGCTCATTTTATTGGATGGCATTCTTGTTTTTGAAAAGCTGTTGAGCATTGTGCACTGCAAATTTGCCGCTTTAGCATAGATTTACCTTAAATTAGAGTATACTGTATGTAGAATTCTTTAGATACAGTATAAACATGTTTTTCAAGACAAAACTGTTCAGGGTATACTTTTTCTTTCCCTCCTTGTCCGTCCAATGACCCGATCTCAAGTCACTATCTGTGTGAAAAGCTGACATACAGCAGTTTTCTCTCTTGATACCAAATGTATTCCTTTCAATGCATACACCCACTCAGCGGCTGAACAGTTGCTAGGGAGCTGCCATCCAGTGAAGAATTTCTAAACAGGAGGCTACATCCCAAACATCTCCCTCCTTCCTCACTGCTGGACATTGGTCAAGGTCCACCCATTTAGCAGCAGAGTATTTGTACAATAGTGCAGCATGGTGTGAGAGGCCACGTACTGAGTGGCATTTCTAAGCCTGAGGCTCAAAAGCACAAAAAAAGATGGAGAAAAGTATTTAAATTATTAATGTATTAGCTACCTTCACACAGGCAGCCAGGCAGGATAGTGAAATTTGTTTGAAACCCAACCAGTAAATAAGGGTGAATGTATTTTTAATATTACATGCCAAAGGGACCAATACTTTCTCTTTGCTATCTCTCTGTAAGATGCTCGCAGGGCAGAAAGATGCTAATGCATTTAAATGAGATGTAATATAGACCTTTACCATAGCACTCCTTTGAGAACATCCTGGCAATCAAAATGCACAAGATTCATTCAAATTGCAGGTTGTGCTTTGATTTTGAGTCTGTTTGAAAAGAAAGTGAGGATATGGTCTTCATATGCACTACATTCCTGAGCATGTACAGCATGAACAAATAATTCAAATTCTCCATTCACATCACGTAAATGAATAATCATGTTTGCAGATTTTGTTTTGTATGTCAAGTGGGTGATTAAGCAAAACACGCAACATAAATGATTCACGTCTAATAAGAAGAGTAATATTCAGCTAACAAGGAGGAATGTGATGTAATACACTATATCCAAGCCTTGAGTGATCATCAGAGGCTTGTGTAATCTTTTTAAATTGGCTCCTCATTTCCAGCAATCTACATCTGCTCTTACAGCACGATGAGGAAACATATAGCAGCATATTGCTCTCTGACATAATTTCCTAAAATTATCACAGCATTACCCTTAAAATAACACATAATAAAGTAACTATCGATGATGTAATGAAATCTTATATCTGCATCTGCATTCCTCATCTTGATCATGTGTGTTGAAAGTTTAAAATGTTAATTCTAGAAATCACTCTCAGTAAAAGCTTGTCAGCAAAGGCAACCATTTGTAGCACTGAAAGTATACATTTTTACAGTGTAGTAATAAACGGACAGTATGCTCACTACTTCCCTCTAGACTGCTTCTAGAAATCATGATAAATTATTGATTAATGCAAACCTGGTGTGTGTTCACAGTTTTTGAAGATGCATGTTTCAGATTTTATTTTCTTCGCCAAAAACTCCCTCTATCAGGTTAAAAGCTGGTACCTTCAAGTATATCAGTAGAGATGGTAGCAGATGGTAGTTTACACCTTTCCATTGCCAACAGAGGTGTTGAGAGAAAGACATTAGGAAGAAAAAAGAGCAAGGTCAGTCCAACACCAACACTACCAAATATTCACAGGAACTACTTTCTTCTACACTCATATAGGACAATTCTGTGCCTCATGATTTAAATCCAATGCCAGAGTTTGGTGCCAATGCAGGGAGTACTATGCCTTTTATGTAGCTAGGCACAAAGTAAAAGTACAGAGGCCAGGCTAATGGATATACCGCAACTTTCCTCCAAGAAACTGTAGCTCATGTCCTTCTCATAGACATGAAATTAATACATGAAAACTAATACCATGATCTTTCCTCAAATGTAACCAAAGGTTCTAGTTGGCCATACTGTTGGAACTACAATCCTTCCCCAACCTTATATATCCACACCATATATGTAATGCAGTTTTTATCAGGATTGTCAATATCAAGATTCTTGTCTGGTGACAGGAATGTGTTCTGTGGAGTATACAATGCAACCAGGATGCTGTTTTTGGAAATAAATATTACTGTCAACCGTTTTAAATGTAATTTTCTATTGCTAGGAGCACCTCAAGTGAAATTCCATGCAACTCCAGGCAGATTAGGGTGTCAACTGACATCTCAGAAACAGATATCTCGAAGCATAAGTTAATACAACCAAACCCCTACCACCAGAGTTAAGTGAGGAAATATGGATTTTGTAATATAGGTGAACCAACTCTTTAAATATAGTGGTACTCACAGTGATATTTATAGGTCTGGGTAGTGAGGTAGACCTGTAGGACATTCTGGGAAATCCCTCTGGCCAGCTGAAGACGGGGCAAGGGTTATTCCGTCCACTGGAAGTTGATTGAGGAAGAGGGGGCTCATAACTCGTAAGTACCACTTTCTTCTCCTTTTCCCTGCCTCTTTCCATCCTTCTGTCCTTTTCCCAGCAAGGCATTTCTCTCCCTTTATCCTTTTCCTTTAATTTCTCTATTCCTCTGTCTCTCTCCCAGGGGCTTTCTTTTCTCTTCTCCTTCCCTTTCTCCATACCCGAGCCTCCATTTCTCTCCCATTGAATCCTGTTTTCCCTCTCCTTCTCTCTCTCCATACCCTTCTCCAGCCCTTTTCCATTCCTCTCTTTCCCCAGGGTGCCATTAGCTACCAGTTCATCAAATCGCCTTACTCTGTCAATGTCTGTCTCTAGATAAAGTCTCCCAGTGGAAGGCTGGGCCTGAATCTTTGTACACGGCTCCAGGTCATGCTCAGGGTATGGCTGACTTTCACCTTTAACTTTCCTCAACACATCCCCAGGCTCCAAGATCTTGCAGCTAGGTAATGTCTTGCTCCACTGCTGGATGGAACTGGTAATGTCCTTTGAATCATATTCCTTGATGGTCTGGAGGTTTGAGCTGGTTGGACTGTACCATAAATTTGTTGCTGCTGTAGATGGTGGTGGTGGCAGGATTGTTGGTGTTGAATGTAGTGTGGCTGTTAAAGATGGATGAGGCAGGGTTGATGGTAGCGGTGGTGGAGGAGACGGGTGGCTATGTCGAAGGGTGGGCTGTTGTTGAGGAGGACCACCATTAGATTTCAACACCCTGAAAGTTACCTCATTCAGGAACTGTGAGAACTTGCGCTTGTCATCGGTCTTCTCGTCCCGCTGATGAGATGAGACTGTAGTGGCATTCTTGCACAAGCTTGGCAAAGACACACTTTGGGTTCCCACGTCTTTCCTTAGTGTTGTGGGAGTCCTCTCAGGAGCACAACCTCCTTTACTTTCAGTTTTAGCAGCAGGACGTGAGAAGATAAGATTTTGGTAAATTACCTCAGGCTCCGCGATGGCAGTAGCAGATGCCTGGTGAGTGGTGCAAGAATTTCCACCTGATTCCCCTGATGCCTCATTGCTATCTTGCTTAACTGGAGTCCGTAGCAGGCAAGTGGCCCCTGAGCTCCAGCTGTTAGTGTCCCAACTGCCATCATCATCACTGGAGCTGTCATTGGCGCTCTGTAGACTGGGACTTGTACTCCTCTCGCTGGGGCTGGCGCTTGGGCTTGGGCTTGAGTTTTCCAGGCTGCCCAGTGACCGCCGCTTCAACCGAGAGATTGTTCCCTTCAGGTTGGATAAAGAGCGCTGGAGGCTAGGCAGAGATCCTGGGAGACTTGGCAATGATCCTTTGAGGCAGGGAACAGACCCCTGGAGACTAGAAAGGGAACCTTTGGAGCTTGGACTGAAACTGGAGTTGTACAGACTGGAAAGGGAGCCTTTGAGTAAAGGAGAGGATTGGCGGCGTAGCGGTGGGTCTTCTTCATGGTCACTATATGGTCCAGAGAAGACAGGGCAAGAAGCGGTTGAAGAGCAGGAGCCGCGATCCTGCCGAGTTGAGGCTGTTCTGGACCTTGGCTGGCGCCGCAGAGTAGCCATATCAATTGCCTTCTTTCTCCTAGTTCGAACAGTCTTTTGTGATCCTTTCTGTACAGACTCGAGTCTGAGACCATCATCTGAAATGGACACACACAAGTGAACCATGTCAGGCTCAGTAGAACAGATTTCCAATGGCTTTCTGTCCTCTGGCTTTGCCCAATTTCAATTGTCTGCCCTAGTTGTCCAGGCCACCAGCAGTGCACCCAAGCTGTTGCAGTGTGACACACTTTCACTGGCCCAGCTCAGTATACAATGAGATCTCAAAGGGGTTAGAGTCAGCTAGTCATTTGGATGTCAACCAACCTACTTTCATTACCATTCATAGGCTGACAATGTCCATTCTGTTTTTTTCTTTTTAAAATAGAATAATAGATCAACAGCTGCATCGCCAGTGCTTTGTCTGTGGGCATCAGCAGTAATGAATTAGTGTATTGACAATGATGGTGTTGGAAAGCAGCTGGATATCTAGGTCAGAGATATTGACCACAACTACCACGTGAAATCTGCTTAGTGGGCAGCAAAGTGGCCACAGATCAATCTGTCACACATGGTATTTTAAGTGGTTTGTTCTTGTGTTTGCTGTGATGAATGTACAAGATTATGTTCATTAACTTTAACTTGTCCCTCAAGACACACTTGATATCATTAATTCGTCACTCCTACAATCTATTTCATCTTAAGACAGAACATCTCTATGGAGGTTGTTTGGTGCAGAGGCAGCAGCTGGTGCCTCTTGCTCAGATGAAAAGGAGCCTCCCCAGCAGATGTTACCTTGTCCAGACACCTGGTCTTTAAAGATGCAGCTCCTATTAGAGGCATCAGCTCTCCAGCTGAAAGGATAATACAGGTTGGTAGTACATCAAAGTACTACAATTTCTTTCTATGAACATATCACTCTGTGGCGTCTTCCACAACTGCCTAGTCTGAGAGTCAGTTATAACAACCACGGGTAATCTCTAAAATCTATATTTATCTTGTGAAACACATTTTTAAAAGGTAGCATAACAACATAATTTGATGTATCGTGTGCTGAGCCTAAAAGCGCAACCGAATACATCTTGTATGACGATTTACAAACTAATAATTTACAGGATATACTGAGAAGAGAAGAAAACTAAACTAAAACTATGTGGCTTTTCTGACTTTAACTGACTCTCACAATGAGACCACATGTAGGCAGTAGGACATCAATATCACCCCAAGTAGTGCTCCAGTCTTGCATAACCACAGAACAACTAATTGCAACTAATAACAACTAATTAACTTAGTTAATTGCATTTAGTTGTTGGAATAATTGAAACTAAAATTTTGTTCGGCTATAAACTTATTTTCAGACTGAATGTTCATTTTATTATCACTAATATTCACTCTCATGTTTTAGCTGTTTTCTCTGGGAGAAGGATTTGATTTTTGTGGCTATAATGCCATAACTTTCAGTTAACACAGACACTATGTGAACAGTCAGTGTAGGTTTGATTTAGACCGAATAGTAACTGACTTTAAGAATACATAAAATCAAAGCCACTACATGTGAACTGAAATTCGTTACTTTGGCACCATCCAGTTGAACTATCAAGAATGAGAATAAAGTACCTCTCCATATAATCCAGTCCAGTACAACACCACAACTGACTATGAGCTAATAATTGCATTAACACCTTTATGATATCATGATAATATTATAGGCATCATAAAGTAGGTATTGAGGTATAAAACCGTTGTATTCAATTGTACTGGTGCACTTAATAAAGTGGCCACCAAATGTTAGATTTTTTTAGATGGTCAAAAAAGAGAAAGAGTTTACTGCACTAAAATCATTGTATTAAATTTAATGGCAATCTGGCAAGCAGTGTTTGAGATATCTTTCTCTAAAGCAAAGTACTGCAGTCACAGATTGACAGGATGGACAGAATGATTGTAATCAAGACCACCATCCTTGGACCCTGCTACTGGTGGTGTCAACGTATATATTGAATATGTAGCTCACCATGTCATTCTCAAATACATCTTTATAGCTTAGCATCATGGCTGTACTAAAAGAAAAACATCAGTAAGAACATTGGTTTATTCTTTGTTCTGCTTGCCATGTCTTGTGTGCCTTTCGTTTCATGCGTCCTGGGTACAATTTCCCTCAAACTGTGCAGGACTGATTACTACACAAAGGAGGGTACTCAACCAAAACAGGAAGAGGACTGCCTCACTGCGAGTGAACAGTGTGAAACTACTCTACATGGCAGATGGCGGAACCATAGAAAAAAAACACCACTCTCAACAGCGGTACCCTCTTTAATAATATGTAAAAAGGAGTGTTTGAAGGAGGAGGCACACAAAGTAAATGATAGAGAGACAGAGCTCTGGGAAGACCAAAGTAAACCTTGGAAATTGGAATCTGGATAACAGGCATAAAATAGTACAGAGCTTTTAATAAAGTGCAGCACCTAACATTTCAGTTAATCATCTGAGTCTCTGATAAAGACATGTAACTACATCAAATTGTTACTGTAATACCTTTACTTGTTTTGAAGATTGAACTTAACTATAGCTCATTTTTTCAACCTTTAGAGTGTATTTATTAGATTTTAATGCTGATCTTTCCATTAATGGTTTATTAATAGAGCATGGTTTCACCTTTGCTCCAACAATGCAATTAGAAGCTCTGTGGTTACACAAGACTGGAGCACTGCTTAGGATGCTATTGATGTCCCACTGCCAAAAGCCTACATGTGGTCACATTGTGCTTTTACAGGGTCAGAAAGGCCACAGATTGAGTGGGTCTGTCTGGTCTGTTCATTGCTCTTCCAGTATGTCTCTGATGAAGATACACTTTATGTTAGAACAATAGTTGCTGCAGCTTATAAAAATCTCTTACTATAATTGTGTGCCCCAGATCTCATCTTTCCACATCCTGCCCCAGTTGTCCTTCCTGTTGGCTGATACAAGTCCAAATCTGTTCCTGTGACTGTGATGTTGTTAACACCACATTGGAGAGCTTCTACTTGTCTTTAAGTAATCTGATTAAAAATTCTACTCGTAGCAGCTTTAATTACACTTCACTTATAAGCCAAGAGGTAGTCATCCATCACCAATATGCAGAGCAGTTCCTCTGTGATCCATCTTGTCCCTACTAATCTTTACACCTTACAGAGACTATAACTCCTGCAGTGGGATGTAGCTAAAGGCAGTTACACAAATGAAAAGTTGAGAGAGAAGGTAGACCAGGTGATGCTAATTGATTGATTATTTTTTACGAGGAGTTATTCAGGGGGAAAACAATCCACATTATGAATGTATTATTATGCATATGCACATTGTCTTTTGTCCCACTGATATATCAACAACCATTGGATGGACTTTTTGTGGAATTTGGCATACATGTTCTCGAGAGGATGAATCCTACTAACTTTGGTGATCATCTGACTTTTCCTCTACTATGAACAGCAGGTCAGAATTCAGTTTCCCCGATATTTTAGTTTTACAGATATTTGGTCAGAAACCAATAACAGCCTCGCACCCCCATATGTACTGTGTACTTAGTAATTAGCAAATGTTAGCATGCTAAGGGGGTAAACTAAGGTGGTGAATTGCTTGCAAAACATCAGCATGCTTGAGCTCATAGTAAACAGCCTTACAGATCCGCTAGCAGAGCTGAAGTCTCTCAATGTTTTTTGTATACTTAGTTTAATGTTGAGAACTGCGCAATAGTTTACAGGCTTTTGGCATCCAATAATCGCATGGATCTGAAAATTATTCCCCACTCTGTTTCTAGCAGGAAAATCTGTCTCAGGTTAACAAGTAAACATGGCTTCATTTTGGTGGATTTCTGTTCCTCTGTTGTGAGTAGGACATATATTTCCACCACCCCTTAAAGTCTCCACGCCACCCTCTGGCCACCCCATGAATATTTCTCAAGATCTCCAGGATCCTTCTAGGTCCACATCCTTTGCTGGAGAAAAACTTGAGTTGTCAAAACTTAAATCAAATTCAACAGAATAATAATAATTGAATCAGATGCAGAAACACACGCATCCCCCAGCTCTTTGAATAATACACACCGTTGGTGTTAATAAGATCTTTGCTGACTCATCATATCCTCTGAGTACGTCCTGATTCTCCAAAGCCTCGGCAACTGAAACAAAAAGATCAGATGCCTCATTTCATCCCTTCAAGCGTCTGCCTGATGAACTCTTCAGAGATATGCGTTGACATCTTGCTAACACTTGAGTTTCACAATTTGAGAAACACTTATGTGTTTGCTGTGCATTTTAGCCTCGTTGATTAGAATACCAGAAACCAAACCTAATGACGTATAAGACAAAAACAGGCATGCTGTTATGTACATATGTTTGGTCAGAAAATGTTTTTCTATCCCTGGGAACTGTTTGCTTCTAATGCAAAGACATTTTATATTTCAGCTAAGAGATGGCTATTTGCTGTGGTTTATCTATACACGGGCCAGTAATCTGCATTAGGACCCACTGTGAGCATTCCCTTGGCAAACACACTTAAGTCTGTGCGCATTAATACTCGCAAGTCTGTCTGCTCAAGCCTGCATGAGACAATTTTCCCCCAAATGCAGCTGAAAAAAACAAAACAAAGCTAACTGTGAGTGTAGCAACACTCACTCATTTAACTTTAATGTAATTTTAGCCACTTCCATTCAGCACACATTGCTGTGCTGTTTTTTTCTCTTCTTATTAATGAGCACTCAAACAAATGGCAGACCCCCGTTTCCCCCCGGTGTCAACATTGATGTTGTCATGGAAACAGTGATTGTGATCCGAATCCATCTTTTTTTTCTGTCCCACTATGTGCCAGAGAGATCTGTATAGCTTTCCCTCCAAATGCCAAAGCAATAAAACGGACACCTATAGGAAATGTCAGCTGCACTGTCTGACCAAGGATATGGAGTCTGACAGCTATGACAAGCAATATTTTTCATTTCCATGTCAAGGGGAGCACTGAGGTGGCGCATCTTTTTCATTTAAAGGGAAAAAACAACA